ATAAATAGAACACGGAATGCATATAGCTTGAATGTTGGAAAACTAGAAATTGTGAAAAATGAAAAGGAATGCAACAACATCAACAATAGTAAATTGAAAGAGACTAGATTTGGCCACTATGAATTGGGTAATCACATGGTATACATTACAGGAGATGAAAAAACAGAAGTATGGTATTACACTCATAGCCAAAAAGTCAATTTCAAGTTCTACTCTGAAATACAATATTGTGAGTGATAGGATACTATCCATATGTATATTAGGAAGACCTGTTAATAAGACTATTTTTCAAATTGACCAAATATGTAATCAAGATGTGTTAAAGATAATGGTGACTGAAATGCAAAATTTGAAAATATTGAAGAAGGAATTGTTTTCGTTGTTATGTGCCATCAAGTCGCTTGCAACTCATAGCGACTCTGTGTATAAGGGCCCTAAACTCTGCTCTGTTCTGTGCCAACACCACCTCTCCGACACACTCCCACCACCCCAATCACAGACTCGATCTATCTCATCAAGGGTATTCCTCTCCACTCTCCCAAACATGGTCCCTCCTTGCAACATGCCCAAAGTATGTCAGATGAAGCTTCAGAATCCTTGACTCCAAGGAGCATTCTGGCTTCACTCTCTCCAGGACAAACCTGTTTGTTTTCCTAGCAGTCATGGTATGTTTAACACTCTTCTCCAGAACCATAGCTCAAAGGCAACAATTCTCTTTCTATAATCCCTAGTCACTGTGCAACTCTCTGATGCATAGCACTCAATTGCAAAGACTATACCCCTGGGTCAGGTGCATCTTAGTCTCCAGCCTGATGTCGTTGCTCTTCAGTACTCTGGAGAGGTCCCTCACAGCTGACTTTCCCAATGCAATTCGTCTCTTGACTTCTTGGCTGCTGCTACTAAGAGTGCTGACTATGGATATTGACTTGATGATAGAAATGAGGTTAGAAAAAGAATGATCAAGTTTTGTATTTTCAAAAATTTATTCATGCCTTAAAAAACAAAACAAATGTCAACTTTACACAAAACTTCACCTAATGGACTGCATGGTAATCAGTTTGACTAGATCCGTGAAAGAAATTGTTGGAGAAACTTGATATCGGCAGTCAAAATTAGGTCAGGGGTGAACTGTGGGTCAGACCTTCAATTACTCATGTTCAAGTTCAAAATGAGGCAAAAGAAAATAAAAACAAACCCAAGAGAACCAAAATATGATCTTGAATCTATTCCATCTTAATTTCTAAATAATATTTAAAATAGGTTGAAGCGTTGAACACCAACGATTGAAGACAAGATGAGTTGTAGTATGATACCAAAGATATCATGAAGAGAGGAAAAAGTCATTACAAAGACAGAGGACAAAGAAAAAAATCAAAATGGATAGCAGAAGGGACTCTGAAAATTGTACTAGAGTCCTGAGAAGCCAAATCAAAGGGAAAACTTGCTGAAGTGAAAAAGTTGAACAGAAGATTTCAAAGGACAGGTCAAGAAGAGAAAACAAAGTATTAAAATGGGATATGCAGAAAGCTAGAATTTGACAATGAAAAGGGAAGAACTCATTAGGCATTTCTCTAGTTGAGAGAACTGAAACACAAATTTAAGCCTCGAGTAGTAATATTGAAAAATGTTATGGTCAATATTTTGAATGACCCAGGAAGCATCAAAAGATGATGGAGGGAATACATGGAGTCACAGGGATATCATTGCTGATGTCAGATAGATCCTGGTTGAAAGTAAACAATATCAGAAGAATGTCTATGTGTGCTTTATTGACTATGTAAAGTCATAGTTATGGATAATAAGTTATGGCTAACATTGAGAAGAATGGGAACCCAGAACACATAATTGTGCTCATGTGAAACCTGTATCTAGACCTGGAGCTGTTGTGCAAATAAAGCAGGCAAACACTGTTGTTGTTACATGCTTTTGAGTAGCTTGCGACTCATATATACAAACCACCTAACCCTGTTCTATTGTGAGCCATTTGCATTGTTTCCAACACACCTACCCCCATTACTCCAGTTACTGAGTCAATCTATCTCATTCAGAATCTTCCTACTTGCACTGTCCTTCCACCCTTCCAAGCATGATGTCCTTCTCCAAGGACTGATATCTCCTGGCAGCATGCCCAAAGTATGTCAGAGGAAGATTCAAACTCTTTGCTTCCAAGTAACAGCCTGGTTTAACTCTCTCCAGAACAAACTTGTTTGTTTTTTTAGTAGTCCATGATATATCAAATACTCTTCTCCAGCACCAGAACTCTAAGCTTCAGTTTTTCTATCATCCTTAGTCATCGTTTAGCTCTCTGATTCACAGCAAGTAATTGCAAAGACCATGGCATGGATAAGATGCACATTGGTTTCTATACTGACATCATTGCTGTTCAGCACTCTGGGGAGGCACTTGACAGCATATGTTCCCAATACAAGTTATCTTTTGATTTCCTGGGATGGTTTAAAATTAAGAACAATGTGTATCATAGGACAATTAAAACAGACATTCGGATGACGGGGGAAGAGGAACAAACTGGGGAGAAGGGTAGAGAGAATGGTGCAGCAATGAAGGAATGAAAACCCAAAATCCCTGTAAATGTTCATTAAAATTAATAAAATTTAATAATAATTAAAAAAGAACAATGTGTATCTAGATTGTACTCTCTCTCCATATTTATTCAATCTGTATGCTGAGCAAATAATTCAAGAATCCAGACTCTATTAGGAAGAATGTGGCATTAAGGTCAGAGGAAGACTCATCAGTCATCAGTGTTATGAAGATGATACAACCTTGCTTGATGACAGTGAGCATAACTTGATGTGCTTATTACAGAAGATCAGAGTATACATCCTTCAAAGGGTTGCATCTCAATATCTGGAAAATTACATAAGCAACATCATCATGGATGAAGAAAGATTGAAATTGCCAAGAACTTAATCTTACTTGGATCCACAATCAACACCTTTGGTACCAGCAGTCAAAAATCCGGAGATGTACTGCACTGGGAAAATCTGCAGTTAGGGATCTGTCCAAATTATTAAAGAGTAATGATGTCAGTTGGAGGACTAAGGTGATTATGATTAAGATATGGTCTATGCATCTGAGAGCTGGACAATGAACAAAGATGACAAAAGAAGAACTGATGCCTTTGAGCTGTGGTGCTGCCAAAGAGTGCTGAACATTCCATAGACTGTGCAAAGAACAAATATATTTTGGAGCAGCCACAGTGCTCTTTGGAGGCAAGGATAATAAAACTTCACCTCACATACTTAGGGAATATTGCTAGGAGTAGCTATTCCCTGGACAGGGATTTGATGCTCAGAAAGGTGGAGGTTTGACGAAGGAGAGGAAGATCCTCAATTGAGTGGCTTGACACAGTGACTGCTGTAATTGGCTCTAGTATGTTAGAAAGTGTGAGCATGGTTCAGGATAGGACATGGTTCAGATCTGTTTTTCGAAGAGTCAATATGGGTTATAGTAGACTCAATGATACTTAACAACAACCACAAGAACACCGGTATAGCCTGCAGGGACTTGTCCTGCTAATTCAAAAGTTATGGCTCTCTGGCTGTTTGATTCTACCAAAATTTCCAGGAAAGAAAGATGGGAACTTTCCTGCTATGCGGTTTAGAGCCTCTCAAAATCTTTTGCAGGGACAATTCTAACTCAAGGAGTTGAGTTTGAGTTTGAGTTTTTCATATGAATGTGAAAACTGGACAATGAATAAGGAAGACTGAAGAAGAATCCATACATTTGAACTTTGTTGTTGACTAACACTAGATATACTCAGGGCTTTTTAAAGGACAAACAAATGTATCTTGAAAGTAATAGAGTCAGAATGTTTCTTAGAAGCAAAGATGGGAAGATTTTTAACTCACATAACTTTAGGCACATTATCATTAATGTCACTTGGAAAATTATCTTACAGTTTGAATAGTAGTGAGTCAATGCAAAAGGGGCATATCCTCAATGAGATTGATTTATACAGTGACTGCAGCAGTGGACTTAAGCAAGGCAAAGATTGTGAAGCCAGCACAGGATTGATTAGAGGTTCATTCTGTTGTGCTTGGGATAGCTATGTGTTGGAGTCAACTAAAAGGTACGTTACAATTTATTTTAATGTAGGGTCTGAATATGCTATGTAAAGCTTGCTACATTTCATAGATATTAAGGAGCAATACTTTATACTTCACCCAAAACAAAGAAAAAATATCTACCAAAAACCCCTCCCATTAAACCCAGTTTGTTGCAGTTCCTCCTTGGTTGTTTTAGGCTTAATTCTTTGTGAGAGAAGACTTGTCTTCATTCTTCCATGAAGGAATTGGTGGGTTAGTGGTGGAGTTGAACCACTGAATTTTCATTTAGCAGGACAACATGTACTCCATTATTATCACCTGAGCTTATAATACACAGATATATCTCAGACTCATAACTTACAGTCTTCTTACAATTTATATGAGTATAATAGGGAAATATTTGTATCTAAGAAAATGTAAATAAAGAGGAGTGATCAATGGCAGACAGAAATAAGTTTGAATGCAGTAAAAATGAAAAAAAGAGCTTTACAATGACTGAAACTTTTCATCAAAACTGTTTAATTTTAATTTTATCACCATTTCCTTACTGTTTCTCAAAACAAGTTTTATCCATGTGCGCGACTAAGTATGTCTGCTTTTTAATGTGACCCTCCTCACCAGAATTAAATTCTGCAAAGGCAAGAATCCTTATAAGCTTTTCCTGCTGTGTATATGTGATCTTGAACAATGATTTACATTTACTTCTGGTTTACTTGTGGATTCAGGTATAGATTTTAAAGTTAAAAATCCTGAGTAGTGTAATGGTAAATAGCTGCCTTCAAACTCAAGGTTAAAACACACTACCTATTCCATATGAGTAAGATATGACAGTCTTCTCTATAAATATCATATCATTAAAAACACTATAGGACAATTCTACTCTGTCTTGTAGAATAATTGTGAATTGAAATTAATACAAGAGTCATGGATTTAGCCCTTGTTTGATAATAACATTCTCTTAATTGAGTCCTTAAGGGCCTGTTTCACCTGCTGATTCCTTAAGGTGTAAATAAATGGATTCAACATGGGAGCAACAGAGGTATTAAGTACTGCTACACCTTTGCTAAGATCCACTCCTTCTTTTGCTGATGTTTTCACATACATGAAAATGCAGCTTCCATAGGAAATTGAAACCACAATCATGTGAGAAGAACAAGTAGAAAATGCCTTTTTCCTTTGCTGGGCTGAAGGGATCTTCAGAATTGTTCTAAGAATGAGGGAATAGGAGAGAATCACTAAAGCCAAAGTTACCATGAGTGTGAATACTGCTAAGAAAAATGCCATAAGCTCTAGAAACTTTGTGTCTGTACAAGCAATGAGCAACATAGGTGAAGAGTCACAAGTGAAATGGTCAATAATGTTGGAATCACAGAAATCCAGTTGGAGCCCCATAATCACAGGTGGAAAAATAACAAGAAAACCAGCCAGCCAGGAGCCCATTACAAGCCGATTGCAGACTTTGTTGCTCATGATAGTTGTGTAATGTAGAGGTTTGCAGATAGCCACATAACGGTCATATGACATAACAGCCAGAAGAAAAAACTCTGTTGCACCCAAGAGGATTAAAAAAAATACTTGTGCCATGCAAGCATTATAGGAAATGATTATGTCCCCTGTAGCAATACTTATCAGAAATCTAGGTATACATACTGTTGTAAATGATATTTCTAAGAAAGAGAAATTCCTGAGAAAGAAATACATAGGAGTCTTCAGAGTGACTTTCAATAAGGTCAATATTATGATAGTCATGTTTCCACTTACACTCAGTAAATATGTAAACAGCATAAAGAAAAATATCACAATTTGTAACTCTGGATCATCTGTAAGTCCCAGAAGAATGAATTCTTTGACTGACGTTTTGTTTATCATGGCTAAGTGCTGAATTCTCATAGTCTGTTGATAAAAATAAGAATAGGAATGAACTTTTTATATGATTTCAAATACATTTACAGTGCTTTTAATATTCATAAAGAACTATAAAAGATGAATTTAACAAGAAGTGACAAAACAGTTATTAATCAGAATTTCAAATTCTCATAATTTGCTTGTGATAAAAACTGATGTTTGATATCTCTCATTGTCAATAAGTCAAAACTGACTCATAACTGACCTTCTTGGGTTTCTGAGGCTGTAAATGGTGCAGAAGGAGATTACTCATATTTCTTCCAAGGAGCCACTCATTGATCCAAACCACTACAGAAGCATGGCCTTTGGATTATTAGCAAAACTACCTACTTATTATACCAACAGAGCTCTCTAGATAACCTAGTATGGCTATACTAGAAATAACACAAGTTGGAGGCTTTAATAGATATTTATTTTTTCTTATATTTATTTTATGTTATGGTCAAAGCTAGAAATCTGAAGACATGTTCCCAATCTAGGGAAAAGCTTTTTTCCTCTCCCGAGTCTGGAGAAAAACACTTAATGATATTTGAGTCTTTGCTGGACAATCTTCATGTGGTTTTAAAATCTATCCTCCTCCATGTCTGCTACATGCACTGTTAGTTTAATTTCTTTTATATCTCAAAAAAGTTTGACTAAAGATATAGCTTATATTAATCCTCTCTTTAACATAAGAAAGATAGTTCATTGCTAAATAAGATAACTACAAACACTGATGTAGGATTTACAACATGTATTTTGGAGGTATATAATTCAACCCAGAGTACAAATGGGAATATTAAACTCTATTACTTGGAAAAAATTAATTTTTACTTTGGAAATCCCCTTTTGTATATAAAGTTCTTTTTTACTATTAAAAAATAAGCTATTTATTTAATAATTATTTAAATAATTATTTTACTTCTTTGCTATTTGGGAAAGATTAAAGAAGTCATTAAAGCAAATGACACTTTCAAAATATTAATTCACATAAAATAGAAGATGCTAACTTTTCCTTTGAAAAATTTAGTTTTCAGTCATAATGAATACTGTCTCCATCATAATGCTTCTTCTATATTTATTATAAAGCAAAACATCAAAAATGTTATATTTATATAAATTTGAAACTCCATTTTTCTTCATGCAAAATAAACTGTACTTTTCTGACTATTATAAACAAATGCACAAAGGGAGTCATTATTAATAAAGTCAGCAATAACTAGACTCATGGGAAAAATTTTTCCTACAGATTTCTCTAAAAAAGTCAGTCACATAAATTTGGAATTAAATCTGATTCATCTTATTAAGATATATATTATTTTACCAAGTTAATGCATAAGTAGACTTTTTAAAGCTCCTTTCAAAAATATATTTCTTGTTTGGCAAATTTTATTTTCCAAGGATGTATTAAAAATATAGCATAAATGATAGCAATTAATAAAACCATATAACATAAAGTATAATCATTTTATTTTTTTTAGTATAATCATTTTATGTATCATACTTTATTTTATCGTTGTTCTTTACTGTTGAGTCAGAACCAACTAACAACTGACCTGCAGCAGGTTTAAAGAGGCAGTAAATCTCACATGAAGAGATTGCCCATCTTTCTCATGCAGAGTAGCTGGTGGATTCAAACTGTGTAACTTTGTGTTGACAGCACAACTCCTTAACCACTAAGCCATCAAAGCTTCCTGCCATACATTACAGCAAAGATATATCACACTATTACTCTGTACTCATTGGCATCATGGAAATTCAAGAAACTCATGGAAAAAAAAATCAAAGACATTGCACACTTTTTATTCAATGTAACAGAGTCAATAAATAGTATATAAACCAGCTTTCATACCTGTGTTCTACTGTACCATTCCTGATAATTAACACAGGTTTAATTTTATGTGATGAAAGGAAGAATGAATAAATAATTGAAGAAAATATACTCAGACTACGTTAGAACTGGCTTCAAGTTTGAGAGGATTGTTTAAACTGAATGGAATTAACTATGTGTTAATTTTAAAGGTACACAACTTTTTCTGAATTACTCAGTACTGACTGACCAAGAGTAGTAGCCAGGTGTGTCAACAAAAAAGTAAAGATTCAATGGTGAAAATTTTAAAATACCAGTGAGATAGACTCTCAGCATACTGGAAGGCATTTAACTGGGTATGTCAGCATGGTATGGATCAAGGCAATCATAACAATTGTCTAATTCAAAGTGTAAGGACTCAAGAAGGGCTAGAAGACAATCGAATGAGTCTAACAATGCTTCTGTCTCTGAAATTATTACAAATCATACCAAATGAGTTCTGGCTAAGAAAGTATTGCTTTCCTTTTGTGGGAAATGTGATTTAATTTTTAGCTCATTTGTGACAAATTGAGGAAGATACAGGTAGGTAAAACAATGCAAACACTGGCAAAATACATGATCAGGAAACAGAATAGTTGCTAGAAACAAGTAATCTGGAAAGACAAATTAATAATGTGAATAGAAGAGACATAATTTTATATATATATATACTTACATTTTCTCTGGATGGACTAGACAAATTATATAAACCTACATATTTTGCTGAATATTTATAATATGAGAAATATGGTTTTTAATAGAAAAATCTTCCTCATTGTTTTCTCCATATTTATCTTTACCAAAACAAATCCATGTTTGCATTAACTCTCCATATTTAAAAGGCTTTGAACATATATACAGGCGCCTCCCTTTTTGGTAAATAATCCATTTCACTGTAGAGTAACTTTTGGATCTCTGAAAATGGGAAATTCTCAACAGCATATTTCCAATACTAATTTTCTTGCATTTAAATTGCATTCATTTCAAGATTTTTCTAACATGGCTGAGTACTACACATTTTTTAAAATGCCTTTTTTTCAAATAAATATTATACTAGTTTATGTACTTATAGAGACACACTTGAAGAGATTTTATTTTGGAGGGAAATATAACAAAAACCTCTTCCCTGGAGATGGAAAAAAGACTAATGACATTACAAAACAAACAATTCTGGCAACACTATTTAATTGGGCTCCTTTGGGAGCATTTAGGTGTTGGAGGAATTCTACTTACAATCTCAGACTTTGTATAAAATAATAAGAAAGTGATGAAATGATGACAGACTGAAAAGCCACTTATCAAATTGCTTTTCTGGTTATTATTTTAAATGGTGAGATTCATTGCAATGAAAATCACAAACAGGAAACTTGGAAATTAGTTGTAGTTGGTGATGTTGTTGGGTGCCATCTAGTCAATTATGACTCATTATTGCTGTTGTTGTTGTTAAGTGTCATCAGGTTGCCTGCAACTCATTAGTGACCCAACAGCAATTGTGACCCTATAAAGAGCAGATCTAAAGCTTGCTTTTTCCTGCCCTCAACACATCTGATATGCTGGAGCCCATTGACAGTCACTTAGCCAATCCATCTTGTTAAATGTCTTCTTCTCTTACTCTGACCCTCCACATTTCCCAGGTTGATGTTCTTTTCCAAGGACTGGACTCTCCTAGCAACATGATCCAAGTAGATGAAATTTCACCATCTTTGCCTCTAAGTAGCACACTGGTTGTGCTTTTATTCAAGATAGTTTTTTTTTTTTCAGTCATGAGACATTCAGTAGTCTTCAATACCACAATTCAAAGACATCAACTCTTCTCTCATCCTTATGAAACTATCAGATGAATAGCAAGTAATTGAAAATACCATAAACTTGATCAGGTATGTCTCCGTCTTTAAACTGACATACATCATTGCTCTTTAGCACATCTGAGAGGTCTTTTACAGCAGATTTTCACAAGAAACAGGTTTTTTATTTCTTGACAGGTGTTAATCACGGGTGTTGATTGTTGATACAAGTAAAAAGGAACTCTTTTCTCCCTCTTATGATGTTGTTACCTATTGGTCCATTGGTAAGAATTTTTTTCCTTGATATTAAGAAGTGATCTATACGGAAGACTGTATTCTTTGCTATTCTGCAGCAAGTGTTTCAAGTCTTCCTCACTTTCAGCAAGCAAGGTTGTGTTATCTGCATAATGTAGATTGTTAATGAGTCTTGCTCCAATCCAAATAGCACATTATTCTCCATACAGTCCAGTTCCTTGAATGATTTCCTTGGCATGCCTAGGTATGGAAAAAGGATTCAACCCTGACACACACCTTTTTTTCATTTGAAATCAGGAAATTCATTAACCAGATGGATTTATGCAGTGACTTTGGTAATGGATATAAGTATATTGGAAACGACAAATAGTGCAAAATAAGATGGGGTCCAGGTCTGTTGTTCACAGTTACTATGATTTGTGCTTGACAACCATGAACATGGTACATTATTCTACTTATCTATGTCTTTATTTATCTCTTGTAGTTGTGTTTTTGTAATTTTCTTTATATAGACTTTTTAGATCTATAGTTAGATTTTTTTTCCTTAAGTATCTTGTTTTGTGTTTGGCTGATTGTGCTTAAGCCAAACTTACACTTGGATCAGGAGTCATCAGAAAAGAATAAGGAAACAATGCATGGTTCAAAATTGGAAAGGATGTATGCCAGGGATTTGTCCTATCTCCATAGAATTTCATGAAACAACGTATGAGCAAGAGCCTATGGTAATGAAAGAAGAAGTTCAAGATGCTTTGAAGGAAATGGCAAAAAATAAGGCTCCAGGAATAGATGATATACCAATTGACATATTTCAGCTAACAGATGCTGTCCTGGATGTGCTCAACAAGTTGTGCCAAGAAATCTGGAGAACAACCACTTAGCCAACTGACTGGGAGAGATCTATATTTGTTCCCATCCCAAAAAAATGGTGACCCAACAGAGTGTGGAAAGTGTAGAACAATTTCATTGATTTCACATGCAAGCAAGATTCTACTGAAGATTATCCAAAAATGACTGCCAGAAGTCCAGGCTGGGTTTAGAGGGGGTCATGGTACTAGGGATATTGTAGCTGATGGTAGATGGATCTTGGCTGAAAGCAG